GAACTAATGGCATTGAACTCCTTAAGTCACGACGGAAGACATTTAGGCTTAATTTTCTTTTCCCAACTTTTTCAAAGACAAACAGCACTAGACCCTACACAGTACCTGACACCCATATCGACAAGGCATACGAGACATCATCACCCCGGAACCCTAACAACTTATTTTGCACGGACAGATGCGTTTAAATTTTCTTTTTTTCCACGAACAGTGGAAGAATGGAACCTTCTAAAAGACTCTGTATAAAGATTCACTTTGGTTGATTTACTGTGTGTAAACTGTGTGTTGGGTGTGTAAACCTGTATTTGTATGTTGAATTCTTTTCTTTTTCCTTTTCTACGTGACTTGAGTGCCTAACATGTACTTGCTACTTGTACCGTGCCCACCTGCTTGGACCTGTGATGGTCTGCAGTATGCATTAAATAAAAAATTAAAAAAGTTTGCTGGTATAAATTGGCAGCAGCATACACAGGACCGAGTTGATTGGCGGAACATAGGAGAGGCATTTGTCCTGCAGTGGACGTAGTGAGGCTTATGATGATGATGAAAGAACCTCAGGTGGACTAACCTTCCGGAGCCCTCCACTATGGCCTCTCTCGTGATTATATGGTGGTTTTGGACGTTAAACCCCAACAATTATTATTATAATAATAAATGCGCGCCATTCAGCTTTTCCATTAACACCTTCACAAAAGGCACACAAACACCCTTTTCAAGTTTTCACCTTTAGGATGTGCATACAAAGAAAATTGTTAAACCATGTAAAAAGGTTCAAATGATAAAAACGACGTTTTTAAAAAACACCATTGGTGGATCCAGAGAGGGGTGGTAGGGGCAATCCCCCTCCCCCAAATCTTTGTCATGCACCCCTCCCACTCAATGCAGTGCTCGTAGTCCACCACCAATTAGGACAAATGAGTGAAACCACTGTGAGCACTCATTAACAGTATTTGTGCTTTGAAGGGGTTTTTTCTGCTAGTAAAAAGAAGTCATGACCATGCCCCCATCTCTGATGTTACTTTAGGTGACCCCCCCCCCCCCTAAGACTAGTGGCTAGATCAGCCCCTGACCCTTAAGGCGCAAAAAGTGTGCAGGCTGGGCAGCATTACATAAATTAAAGCTATCGTGTTGACTTCTTGGCAGGCAACTGCTCCCCGCGTACACTACGTTTTAAAACAAGAAGGTTCTCTGACCCACCCTTCTTCCCAAGTCGCCGCCACCACAGTGTCATAGATCTGCATACCGAGCCAAACCCGTAGCTATTGAGCCACTGTCCTCTCTATTTCCTGAAGATGCCTATCTCGTCATCTTCGTTAACAGCATTCGAACTTTAAAAATCTTTTGTCGGACTGGACCAAGGCCTTCCAAAACAACTCTTTATTATAGCGCCGAATTAAACCAACCGGCGACTTCTTTAGTGCTCTCCGCCGAACGGGGCGTGTCAGGTGTCCGGAGCGCGATCCCCCGCAGTGACTTAAAGCGCGATAGTGGGTTGCTTAGTTGCCGATGACCGAAGACCGTGATGCAAACATGTAATCGAAGTCTGACTGTCTCTGGCTTGCGGTTGTGGTTGCAGGCTTGCAGCGAGTAACAGCGACAATGAAGGAAAATGAGATGTCTGGCAGAAATGAAAAAGCGGCGACTATGGCGGGGAAATAAAGGTGGAAGATAAAAAATGAGCCAAGTTTTCACAGGGTTAGCACCTATGTGGAAGGCTATTTCATATGGATCAGGCATATTCTATTGCTTCAGTGTAGGCTTCATTTCAGAAGGCGTCAGGTTTTCAGTCGACAAAATAGGTTGAATAACAAGTTCAAACAACTGAGCCAAACAGCGTACACACGCCATTATACCAATATGAATAATAAGCGGGCCTAGCACGGGCCTGACATGGGCCCGACCCCGACGCACACGGGCCCGAACCCGGGCCGGGCCCGATCCAAGAATGCCTCACCTGGCCCGGCCCGCGGGCCGGGCCGGGACTGTGCAGTGCTCTACTGTCAACTACATTTCAGTCGCCACCCGGTGCAAAGCCGTCTTTGTTCTCGTTCAGTCCTATAGTAACCAACGAATCAAAGGGCAATGCGGACCTTTCTTTTGATCGAGTGCCACTTGTAAGGAAACGCCCACAACAATTTAGCCTAATAACAGTGTTCGTTTTTGTTTATTTCACATCTATGTACCATGTCTTATATTTGTCTCTTGTGTTCAGCGTGGTAAACTTTTTTGGGTGGCGTCTGTTTACACAATTTCTCATCTTTCGCGTTAAAGTTCGAAACACCCACATAAATAGGCAGTAAAAGGGGAATCCCTTATTTTAGAAAAACTTTTTCTTGGTGAACTCTATATTTATTTCTGACTTTATTTTTATTTTACTTCAATCCCCATGCAGCTCAGTGGGCGGGATGTAGACCTCGCATGCTTAAAAAAAAGCGTCATTTCTAAATGGTTTCTTGGAAACCTTTTGTTCCGCAGACAGCCGGCCCACTCAAACAAAGCACATCAGAAAGATGTGGGCGTACTGAGACGATAAGGGCTCCTCGATATATTCACATTCCGCCCTCTCCAACGACTCTCTGCATTGCTGACCCAGCTTTCAGAGCAGCAATTGCCGCAAGTTAAAGACTCTTTTGATCCGCAGACAATGTCTCTAATGGGTTCAGTTTGTGCTCGTACAATGCACTCTGCAAAATAAAGAAAACAAGTGATATGCAAATGCGTCAACGGCCAAGGTTATTATATTTATGTTATACTTAACTTCGAGAGAATAAAAAAAATCAGACTTGCAACCCTAACTGGCTATATTTGAATGTGATGTTCTGCACACCGGTTTCATCTATCCATTGTTTTTCCAAGATTTTGAAAAATCTACCTTTGTTAGGTACTCACTTCAGGCTTAAATGAAATCTCATTTTGTTTTTTAAGGTGCTGATAGGGTGCAGTAGAAATGAATTACCACCTCGATTGGGAAAGCGCACATGAACTGGGCAGGTGCCTAAAAAACTGAAGAAAGTCAAGAAGTTAAATAAGTTAATTCATTAATTCATTCACGTATTCATTCATTCAGTCAGTCATTCATTCAGTCAGTCATTCAGTCGGTCGGTCTATCAGTCGGTCGGTCGGTCGGTCGGTCGGTCGGTCGGTCGGTCGGTCGGTCGGTCGGTCGGTCGGTCGGTCGGTCGGTCGGTCGGTTGGTCGGTCGGTCGGTCGGTCGGTCGGTCGGTCGGTCGGTCGGTCGGTCGGTGGTCGGTCAGTCCGTCAGTCAGTCAGTCAGTCATTTCCTGAAAGGTCTATTGTCGAGGCCTTACATATGGAGGTGGACGGGTGAAAATGGCTACCAAGGTAATATACGTTGAAATGAGAGAGTGTTCAAGACAAAAAGGCTCTTTTTTATTTTTTATTCAGAATGAAGGCGATATAAAAATTAACCCAGAAACGAGGTTCACGAGAAAATGCGACATTTCTAGAGTTTCTTCTATAATAATTGGCCAATTTTCAATTGAAACGCCCACACAAATAATTGGTTTTAGCAAGATAGATCGTTTATTAAAAGCCAGAGAGGTCTAATTAGTTTTACAAACCAAGTAACGCTCCTTAGCCTTCGCTGAAGACATCATAAGTAATTAGTTGTAAAAACTCACAGTCCCTTCAACAAACGCTAAGGAGATTTACTAAGATTTGCTATTTACCAAATAAATCGTATGTTGTATGTGAAAATGTTTCGTTGTAGTTAAGGCACCATACAAAAAATACCACCGCTTTTAATAGAATGGCAACATGACACACGTTACCAACACTTGAAAAAAGAATAGGTACACATACGCGCGCACTATTGCACTACGTATAAGTCAATGTCTCATGAAGTAATGAAGAAAAGAGACAGCCGTGGTTACTAATGGCGCTTTCTTTTTTTATTCCACATGCTCTGCTTATGGTCAAGTGGTTTTGTGGAGAGGAAACATCCTTGCTGTATTTGATGAGGTCTGCTTATACACCAGCACGGTTATTTAGAACGGGACACCCCGAACACTTGCTGAGGTCGTGCTCGAGTTAGCATGGTGAAAGCGACGATGTCGTTGAGAATCTATTCAGGACCTTCCGCCATCATTACATCGTTTTGCTGTGATTGGTAGCGACGTACAGCCCGTAAAAAAGGGAGCTCCCTGTTTTTGTTCGTTTTTAATGGATACTGGTGTGCTGTTTGTGTGAAAACGTGTGCCAGGGACTTTCTAAGAAACGTTTACGCAAATCAATGTCTGCACTCGATCACCGTATAAAAACCGCTGGCACGTAAAAGCTCTATATATATGGTCCTGCAGTGTAGTGGCTAAACAGCTCAGTTACGTGATGCAAGTATAAAAAATTTTTCATAAGTCTCATTAGCTTGCTTTTAATTTAGAAATAACTAGACTAGTCTTATTGTCATTTTTACTTTGGGTGGTGCTATGTGAAGGCAGCTTAATATTGTAAATTACAGTGCACTGACATTCTCTTAAACAGCCACTAATATTTTTAAGTTTTATATGAGTTTCCAGCATACCTGTGGATTTCTGCAGTAAAGTACTGCAATAGCGGGCCTCTCCGTATCTAATCTATCACGGTAAAGCTCAAAACATCCCAATCTCATTGAAATAGAAGCATAAGATAGGTGGGAGTCAGCACACGTGTTGACATGGGTACTTTGTTGTGCAGTGAGCTGCTGACTCAACAACCTCCACAGCTGCTCATTTGTCTGCATACATCGTTCAATGCCTTCAGCGCAAGCGTTCTTTGTTCCATGTGGAAAAAACAAAACAAAAAGTATGGAAAAAACTATTTTTCACTTTGATACTGCTATCAGGGCTTTGCGAGAGTGACGTGAGAGTGACTGACTTAATTCAATATGAGCTTTAAGTATCGTCTCAGGGGTGCATAGTTTCATATTATATGAGTGTTTTCTCCTTGTAGAAAAAGCCTCGGTCTGGCCCAGGCGTATACAGTGCGGCTGACTAGCCGGACGAGCGGCATGACCGGCGCACATGTCAAAGCGCGAGTACCCATCGCCTTTCTTCTCACATCGTTTCTTGCAGTTCAGTCATTCGCGGAATGCCGCCAAGGTGAGCCACGCCGAGGACCCACCGAACCCCGACCACCGCCACCAGCGGATGGCGCGCGCCCGTCCCCAGAGGAGATGCTCGACGGGCAGAATAAGAGCAACGGCGACATTCCTGGCGCTGCAGCCGCCGCCGCGCAGGACACCACCGCTGCGAGCGGCGGCTATTGTTGGCGCCGAGGACGCGAACGCGACGCTCCTCGTTGAGGGGCGGCGGCACTCACTCGGGTGCCCCTTGGTTCCGGTGGCAGGAGCACGACATGTCTCTGCGGAGTTCTGCATGGCGGGCGGCTTTTGCTCTGGCCGCCGTGGGCCCATTTCACCACCGCTGAGCTTCTAGAGCTCCGGCGGCTGCCCTCCGAGCACTGTCTCAACCGCGATCGGCACCGTTTTTCTTTTTTTTTTTACCTTTGGTCTAATTCATCATTTTTCGCTTTGCTAACAGCTCGTTAGAAGCGTGACGGAGCACCTGTTTTCTCGACCGTAGTCTTCTATCATCGATAACAGGGACAACGGTGCGAGATGGGAGGGACAAAAGAAGGGGCGACCTTTCTTCCTGTTAAGCAGTGGCTCGTAGTATGATTATGACTACATAACTCAAGAACTTATCCGTCGAGTCACTCCAGCTAAGGTTCTGATGTGCGTAGACACTGAAGTACCGTCTATTCGACATAACATTACCTTCGTAGTCACCTGTATTTTCTCTTGTTGCTCTTTCAAATTGAAGAACCGGAAGACATATAATAGCCACGAGCGTGCATCTCTACTAACGGTGCCCCTGCTCGACCTCGTTCTCACAGAAACTAATTTAAGAGCGCGTGCATATCAGTAGAGACAACGAAAATATTACTGGAGGCGCTTTCCAATATTACTTGCGAAGGCGAAAAAGTCCTTTCTAAAGAACAGGCGTTGTTATATCAGCTGATATTTTTAAATAATTTTATTACAACGGCATTGTGTGTGTAAGAAAGAAAGAGGGGCCGAGTGACAGATTGCGCGTCTGTGGGATCGGAGGTTAAAGAATTTAAAGTGTCTCAATCTGTTCCTAAATAACAAAATTTGTGCACATGCACATCTATTCTGAAGAACAAATGTCAATTCATGTGTTCCACAAATGTGTCGATGTATCGCGTTTACCGTCATACCGTAAATGAGCAGGCAAATAATACTATTCCTTGTATACTTCCTTTTAGGGTGTTCAGAAGAAGGAAGAAAACAAAGATGGAAGCCAGGTAGGTTAACCAGAAAAGTGTCCGGTTGGCTATCCACCAGTGGAGGAGTGGGAAAAGTGGGCAGAAAGATTGAAGAGAGAGAGAGAGAAGGAAAGAATGAAATGTGCATGCGGCATTGCACCACTAGTCAGAGGCGTTCGCCCAAGCCTGTCGTATTCGAGAATCACGAAAGTGCATTGAATGCCTTGTGGGATTCACTGCTTCTACCACACAACATTACATTCGTTCACGAGACTTCTTGCCGGGTGGTAGAACAGCTGTTTGTCAGCAGGGATTTTTGGTTCAACTCCTGTTTCGAACCACGATTTATTTTATTTGCATTTATCGTGACTTCTCGCTCGCGGAAAACAGCGATTTTCCACTCACAATCAACGACGCAAACACCAATATTACTAAGAAACGAGCTCCTAATATCGCGTGAAAATAAACCTAATACCTGTATCAGATAGCTACGACCTACGTTGTGGCTCAGTAGCCTCTCTGAACATCGATTCATGACCTTTCAAATCGTCTCTTTTGAGGCAAATATAAGCGGTGAGGGAACATGATACATAGAGGTATTCTTGTTCAGGTATATGGAAATAAATGATTGCATGCTAGTGCGCTGTGGCAAGGCTATTTGTTTCTAGGGGATGCTTTTTTCTTCTGCAAAAACGAGTTCTGTAACTACAGATTTAGTGTTATGTACGTGCGAAATAAACACACTATCACAAAAATATTTAGGTGCAAAATCGACATATCAAGTGCAAATGCAGTTTAAAGGTAGTAAGTAAATTGCAAGTCACTTTATTTTGTTTATAAGCCACAGTGTGACACAAATCAGGTAATAAATCACTATTTACTAAATTAAAAACGAGTGATTTGATCGGTTGTGCTTCATATAGGTTACATTGTACCATTTGCGAATCTCACGTGAAGTGAGGCAAATTTAACATGAGAGTGGACATTAGGATGCAGTCAATGAGATGTCAAGATGTACAGATGACATAACACAAGAACAAATAAAGAAACTGGGAAAACAGATGACTGGTCGTTAACAAGCACATGTTACGGTTGACTTGCACATCAACTGGCTTTAATCCTATTTTTGCCAGGTTTTTTTTACGTCTCAGGCATGCGCTGAATTTAAGACATCCCGTAAATTTGTGTACAAATAAGTAGTACAAAGCACATATATGTACGAGACATGTGGAGTACGTTGAACTTGACAGCACTAAGACAAGCTTACAGTATAAGACGAGCTATGCGAGATACAGATACTGCAAATAAGTCCCCTATACATAAACTTCGACATTTATATGGGCATATTTATTGGTGTTCAAGAGGCACTGAAATTGCTCACAGCACCGAAAGTAAACATAATCCCTGCAAACTCTACTAAATATTCTGATAGATGGCTTGTCTTCTGGTTACTGAACATAACATTTCACGTTTCACGTGTTTCCTTCGCGCTTAACGCAATCAGGAGGGTCTGATTATACGAATCAGGAACCGAATTCAGGCTCTCTTATGTTTTCAGACACGTCATTTTGCCGAAGCTCACGTGCCAAGCGTGAGACCACAAACGCGGCATTTGCTACATGTTTTAAAAATTGAGACCACACATCTTCGAACGAAGCATTACACGCAGAGTAGCGCTAAGCAGGCCGTATATAACTCAATGATAATTCGTTATACAAGTTAGGCATTTCATAGCCCTTTTTTTTTTCTTTCTAGGCAGAATGCAAATATTACACGGATAATTCACAAGAACATCGCCGCTGAAGCTCATGAAATGTCAACCTCTCCGACGAACTTACAATCATAACCGAAAAAATGGCTGTGATCATATTGGGAGCACATTCTCTTCGCTGAGATCCGACTGAGCGACCAGTTCTGATCCGTTTCTGTATACCCTTTTCAAGTCACCTGCAAAATAACCCTTTCGGCTAGGTGCTAGACTGACAAATCAACCCTGGAGCATATGGAAAAGTGTTAAACTTGAAAGTTTCTGCACATACAGATAATTAAAAACAAATTGAAGTGCATTAAATTTGTAGACTCTGTTTGGCACATAACCAGCGCCGTATTTTAGAATTTTTTCGTTCATAACGAACAAGTAAGCTCCGGCTCCTTTCATCTTAACATGCCACGTCTTTTACGAATAAATTGAAAAACAATTTGCAAGTACATTTAGTTTCTACAACTTTTGCAAAAACTTCTTTTATTTAAAAAATATTGCGTGTATGTTCGGTTGATCAGAGGCGCTTAAATAAAGATACGACCCATAAAATATACGTTGTATTACTGCTACCCGCGTTCTTTTTTTTAACTCAATAGCATTAAAGAGCTCGTTTCACAGAAATTGCAGGGTCGGCGTCATTGGTTGTGAGGGAAAGATCATCATCTTGTTCGTGACCAAAAAAATGAGAAAGGTGAAAATAAAATAAATAATAAAGAGGATCGAACCCAGGCCATCTGCATGGAAAGCAGGCATCTTACCAGAAAGCCGCAATGCATGTTAAGTTTTCTTGAAAAAGAACACCATATGAATGACATGTAGTGGAAGAAGTCCCTCTAACGCATCATATATATTGCGCTGCAGAAGCATATATAAACACGCCACACGTACCAACTAGTGATTTGAGTTACGATCATGTGTTTTAAAGGCCCACCCATCACAAAGCGCTGAGAAATATATAATCATCGCCCGCAAGAGAACAATTAACAAAGTGAACAGCTGCGTAGGTTCACGTGTTCCCCGGTATACAGACGTGTAGTGGGCCGTTCGCTGATTAAAAAAACAATTATTATGATGTATCAGGCAGTTAACAACTGTGGTTGCAGTAGGCATTGAATAATACTATTATTATACACACACGTTAATTTTTGTTCCTCAAGGCATACTCCGAGTCGAGGCATACTCCGAGAACCGAAGCAGGCTAGCAGTTCACAAGGCGACGCGTACGAGGCCCGATTAAGCTCTAACAATCTGCTCTTGAAGGCGAAGCTCAAGCGTCCGATAATTTCATTTTTTTTAATTTATGACTCAATACGTTTCTACTTTTCAGTTTCTGCCTGCATGCGCAATAAAAGACGCAAGAACTTGGGAGCACCTTACTATGTTTGTAGAACAACGGGGAGCCACCAATTATAGATGCTAATTTGTTTTCAGTCAAGCTGAACATACCCCAACTCAAATTAACCACGTCTAGGGAACAAGGTTGTGTTAGACAGTGATAGTGACCATACATTGCACTAATAAACATATGATAATGAAATCGTAGGCAAAACTTCCTTTCTTATATATATCGTAATGATATTGTTTATGGCATAGAAAAATAGGTTGTTGCTACTTGCCGAGTTTGTTTTTTTTTTTTTCCAATCTAGTATCTGTTCAGGCTGCAGCGTAAGAACGCAGCATACTTTTGGCAAACATCTAGTGGCAATACGATTTGGAGGGGGTTTGTGTTACAATAAAACACACACAAGAGGAAACAAAGTCTGCATGTGTGACCTTATGTTGCATAAATTCGCCACATCAGCTGTGAGAGACAATAAGAACAGCACCACTTTGTAGGAAGTCGGTGCTTTGGCCAGTCTCGTCCCTTTGGCGAGTGTTTCACTATAGTGGGTTGCCATATTCGCATTGAATACCACTCTCGACGTTTTATTATGTTCCACCTGCCCTCAATCCGTTTACTGCGAGTATCAAGAGAAAACGCGGAATATCAGTATGGGGCAAAAAAGGGCTGGTGCATGCTTTCATTTCGTATTTCTCAGCGCCGAAGCAACATTATGAACAGCTCTGAATGAACCAGTAGTGTTTATAGACGACAAAGACTATACTTGCAGTCGTAACTATACAGCGCGAGCGCTGAACAAGATGCGTTAAAACAATCCCTGACTGCTAATAGCCCCTTTCTAATCTTACTGCATTGTTTCGCATTACACCAATGTACTGAGCAGAAAGTGACCTAAGACGTGCTCTGCGCTCGAAGGATAAAGGTCGGAAAAGATTAGAACTGCTGTCCTTTGTTGTTATTTTTTATCGCGCGGGAGGTTTACTCAGGCTGGCTCAACATTTGAGTCTCTCCCTTCCCAAAACAATGAAATGGCAGACGAGCGCGTCCCCAACAATCGTGCATGTTGACGCTGCGAAGTCTAGCTCCTTCCACCCCCTTCCTCTACCGGTCCTCGTCCACCTTTTATAGGATGTCTTATTGCTAGAACACGACTTACGTCGACGTGGCAGGCACGTGTAAAGCAGTACAACAGCGCTGCGTCGAGTACAGCAGCAAGCATTGAAGCATAGCGGATGAAAAAAAGAACGGTAAGACCGGCGCCATCATATGTAATCTAAACATGAACCCTTTGGCGCGGCGAGCGTCTACCCTTCTCTCTCTCTCTCTGAGTGCATGCGTGTGTGTGTGTGTGTGTGTGTGTGTGTGTGTGTGTGTGTGTGTGTGTGTGTGTGTGTGTGTGTGTGTGTGTGTGTGTGTGTGTGTGTGTGTGTGTGTGTGTGTGTGTGTGTGTGTGTGTGTGTGTGTGTGTGTGTGTGTGTGTGTGTGTGTGTGTGTGTGTGTGTGTGTTTCAGACTGAGTAAAAAAAATAAGCTGCTTTGTGCCTTAGAAATAAACAAATTCAAATGCAGCTGCGTGCAGTGAATGCTTGTGAAACAGCAAAGCTGCTCGCTTAGAAAACACCCTTCGTTTTTTCGCCAATTATATTAGCTGGTTTAATGAAGTGGGGTAAATGAAGTCGAATTCAGTATGTTGAATGAAGTATGATGAAGTGGAAATAAACTGGGTGAATTAAGAGGGAGAAGTGATGGGAGTAGTACTGGGCGTAGTGGTGAGTGGTGGGAGTCGTGTGTAGTGTCTCCTACCCGTTTCTGATCTACGACGGGCCCCGAACATGAAGGCCTCGACTAAGAACAGTTACACTGTTCAAACTCCGTTATTTATACGATAGTCAATGGGTTGTTCTACATTGCTTATCATTTTTTGTTTTCCTATAGTGGCCTCCACGATCAGTTTCCGTACCACGAAATCAAAGCCGATCGCGAATGCCATGTTTTAAAACGACGCAATCCAAGCGCGAAACGCGTGGATGACTGAACTTCATGCATAGCTTGCTTCTACATCGTTGCACTTGATGTATAAAACGGAGCATAGTGCAAACATAGTTGCAAGGTACACTATGCCATAAGTCATCATAATTTTGCAAATTGAGTACCCAATATGTCATTAATATTCATAATTCTGCGTAGGGTCTTAGAGAATAAAATCAAGAACGTTTTCTATAACGGAATGAGCGTGATGCAGCCACTTCCATGACCACCTACTAAACACAGACCCTTTAACAAAGCTTGCGTGTTCTGCCAGGCCAAGCACAGAAAATAGGAGTAATAAAAAATGTCATGACAACTCAAAATGGTAACGCAACAGCTTACTCTAGAGGCTTGTTAGCGACAAGTTTGTGGGATACGCCCACTACCAGGAACTATCGCGTACTTCTCTCCACACATATTGCAAGGTTTGAATACAGTAACCAAGCGCTACGTGAATGTCATGAAAGAAGACCAGAAAAATTTGTGGACGCATCCTATCTCACTTACGCCCTGTTTTGAATGTTGCGAATCTGCACATTTCATAATATGAGGTAAATAGGCAGGAAATGTTTTATTTTGCTGTCTGTTATTTTTAGAGCAGAGAAAACATTCAACGACCATTACTACACACTCCAAATCAAAACAGGAGCGCTACCGCATTCTGGTATCGGACGGTCAGCAGCTCAACGCAACTTTTCGGACGTGTCACTGCTCGAGTAGCAGCTGCGCTGCCAACGAAATACTTGAGCACGGAAGCTTGAGCACGGAAAGGCACTGCACACGTGGAGCCGATTAGACGCGTTAAGTCACCGGGCGACCACACTATCAAGTGACCAGCAATATCGTCTATTCCGCATCTACAATTGCGTTTCACGCACTTCGTCAGCATGGCACCGCTGACAGACAAGCAGCTGCTGTTCTTCATCAACCACAACGAGCTCCATTGACTTGACGGGCGGCATCAACTATTTACGTTTGTGATGCGAGCAGTTCCCGCTGCTGTTAGAGGCCTCGTACCAAAGATATCGTGAGGCTGCGCACAAATATATACACACAAATTTAGCGACCGTATACACGTGGCCGGAGTGTGGTTATTCGGCTTCGTACTGACCAGTACGTGCAGAGAGCACATACTACTGCCTTGTTCACGCTCAACCAACACGCAATATTTCTTGATTGATTGATTGATTGATTGATTGATTGATTGATTGATTGATTGATTGATTGATTGATTGATTGATTGATTGATTGATTTGTGGGGTTTAATGTCCCAAAACCACCATATGATTATGAGAGACGCCGTAGTGGAGGGCTCCGGAAATTTCGACCACCTGGGGTTCTTTAACGTGCACCCAAATCTGAGCACACGGGCCTACAACATTTCCGCCTCCACCGGAAATGCAGCCGCCGCAGCCGGGATTCGAACCCGCGACCTGCGGGTCAGCAGCCGAGTACCTCAGCCACTAGACCACCACGGCGGGGCAACACGCAATATTTCTTTCACCTGCAGCTGGACAGTTATACAGAGCGGCCATCATCAGTGGAAAAATATTTAGATGACAAGCAGCGTTTACTCGGGTTGTGTCCGTCCTTCCCTCACGCATCCGCTCCCCCTCTGCGCATGCGCCGACTCTCCCCCTCTCATCTTCTTCTGTTGTAGGTGGTGTGAGTGCTGCTTTCACTTCGTTTCTCTTCTCCCGTTTCTCTGGCTATGCCGCAGCTGCGGGCTCGAATATAATGCGGCGCGCCCTCGCTCCCGCTCCACTCTCCTTCGCAACGACGCTATATGGACGTCAACGTTGGCGCCATTAGTAGCGGCATTGGTAACGTAAGCTGTGACAGCAACGCAAACTGTGAAATCATTAGCGTGAGCAGCACCACTGAGGAGTAGAGGGCTCGGGAGGCAGAGCATAAATCGCAACGCTGGCAAGCGGATCTACAACTCCGAGCTCGCGAAGCTGAACGTAAACGGCAACACCGGCAAGCGAATCTCGATGCTGCGATGCAACCCGCAGTCCAAGCGCAATGGAAACAGAGCTGAACACCCCGAGGCTACGAGGTAACGCGAGGCCGGAT